GGGGCGGCGGGCCCGGGCCTGAGGGTCCCGCCCGCGGCTCCACCCGTCCTGTCCGGCCTTCGACGGGGTGGTGTGAAGGGCTGCAGGGTTCCTGGGATGGGGGTGGGGCTGGGGCGGCGGCCGGGAGGCATCGCGTCGCGTCGGTCCTCCCTCCCTCCGGGGTGGGCGGTCAGACGGGGACGATGTGGAGGCCGAAGCTGTCGGCCTGAAGCTTGATGTGATCCCCGCGGTAACTAGTGGCGGTCATAGGCAGCGGCAGCAGCGGCAGGGGCGGAGCCCCGGGGGGCGGCACTATAATAATAAGGGGAACCTGGAAGTTAACACAGGAGAAGAATGGGCTGGGTGAGAGGACAAACAGGAGAACAAAAAAGGAAAGAAAAGCAAAGACCTCCCGGGGCTGGGGTCTGGCTGGATCGGGGCAGGGACACCTTGGCTGGGCTACGGGGCCGGTCGCCCCCGGGACAGCTTCATTCACCGGTGGGAGAGGGACCCGATCGATCGGTGACCGCCGCCGCCCGAGTGGGGGGACCTTCTAGAGGGACCGAGGGTGGGGGCGGCGCAGAGCCTTGTAGCCCCGGGGGAGGGAGAGAAAAGGAGGGAAGGGGTCCTCAAGGGATCCCGGGACCTCAGTGCTGCACTAACGAGCCCGCCCGCCCGGCACCCGAACGTTGGGTCGCGGGGAGTCGGCCCGGCGTCGGAAGCAGCCCGGCGGAGCTGGCCCGCGGGCTGACGCGCTGAGCGGCCGGCCAGCCAGGTGGCGTACTCACTTAGTAAGGCGGGGTTGCTGAATCTCCAAGCCTCGTTGTAGGCCGTGTACTGGGGGTGGCTGTACGGGTTGCCGGAGAACTCGCTCCCTGCGGGAGGGTGGTGGAGTGGGGATCAGACACGCGCAACGCCGGGGCGGACCCGACGTGCCCGGCCAGCGGCCTCCCCCGGGTCCGAGGTGCAGGTGCGGCGGGCAGAGCAATGCCCGTCAAGGGCGTGAGGGCAGACGGAGGCAGAGCAATCCACCGGGTCTGCGTGGGGAGAGCCCATGGTGGGGAGGGTGCAGAAGCACGGACATGGGCCTGGGGGTTTGGGGCTCCCCGAGGTGGCGCTCCGGACCACCAGGGAAGGGTTTGTTCCGGGTCCCAGCGCGTCTACGCCGCTGCTTTGCGGGCCAGGGCCTTTTTAGTAGACACTCTGGTTCTAGGAGCCATAGCCCCACGGGGTGGAAGCGGGGGGGGGGGGGAACGGGAAGGTGGCAAAGGAAGGCCCTCGGGACACTTTGTCCCAGAAAGTCCTAAGAATGGCATCTCAGCAAGGTGCCAACGCAAGGGGTGGGGGCTCTGCTGGGAAACAACCCCCTCCCGCCTTTCCCTCGAGAGATTCGATACATGGGCCACGCAGCAGGAGGAGGCGGCGGTGGGAAGCAGGTGGACTGCCCGCCGGTCCGTGAGCGTTTAGCCCAGGGCCCCGTGGGCTGGGAGCCGTTGGAAGCTGCTTCCCTCCCTCCGCGGGAGAAAGGCCAGGCCTCCGGGTTTCCCCCTCGCCCTTTCTCCTGTGTGATGACCCCAGACTGTTTACAGTGATCCCTAACCGCGGGTTAAGTAGAGGAGAAGGGGCCCCTCTCTGAGAGGGAGCTGGGGTGGGGGTGGGGGATGCAGCCACTGGAAAGCCTGTTTATTGACGAGGAGGGAAAGCATGCGTGCAGCAGGATAATGAGCTTCTGAGCTCAACTGTGACCAAGAGGAACTGAGCTATCTCCTTCCCCATCGCTAATGAAACAAGTGTAATTTCCTCATCAGCACTAGATTCTGTTTAACGACTCCCCCCTTGCCACCATGAGCTCTCTGCCGCTCCCCTCATCCCCACCTCCTTGCAGACACCCCCTCCCTCACCCCCACCTCTCTAAGACCTTCTCCAGCCTCCACCTGCTCACTGCTGGGACTTTCCCAGAAGAATCTCCTTGACCCCAACACTTCTACCCCCACTCCAGATCTGGGCAGGAAGCCCCTCATCCACACCTCCCAGCTCTCCTTAGCCAGTCCCTCTAACTCCCTTCAGCCCCTGTGGTACAGCATCCTGCCGCAGTCTCCCTCTTTGCCACCGCCCCTCCCCTCAAGCTCTGCTTAGCCAGGGCTGTCCCTGGATGGACATCCGGGAATGGGGCTATCACCCTCTTCTATCCTCCCCCTCCATGGGGGTTGTGCGTCAGGGGAGGGCCGCCAGCAGGAGTGGGCTGCAGGCCCAGCGAGTCTCACCCTCTTTAAGACAAGAGTGTTTTGGTGTTTCTGCGAATAGAAACTTCAACTCTCTGGCTTCAAGCCCAGCTCCCAATCAGGGGTGAGAGGTTGGGAAGAGCACAACATCCAGCTGCAGTCCTCAGACCCAAAGTCCGGCCTCCGCCTCTCTGATCCACACAGTCCAGACCCAACTCCTCAGGAGCAACGAAGGCCCCGGTTCCTCTGAGGAGGCGTCGTGCTCTAGCTTGTCTCTCGGAAGCCAGTGTCTCTCTGGGTCCTGCCATAGCCTGTCCTCTGTTCCTCTTTCCTTAGGGACCAGCTCCGTCTTCTCCCTGGGGTGTGGTCAGTTCCCCACACTGGTTTTCCCTGTGGGTTGGTGTGGACCAGGGTGGCTTTGTCTGAGTGACTGACAATGCCCCTGGAAATGGTTCTTGGCTCCAAGTTTCCATGGAAACCAGGGCAGGCTCTTCCAAGCAGTGTCAGCTGGCTGGGGGTGGGCTGGGGCACAGAGAGGAGCTGAGGCTGAGTGCTCCCCAGGCACAGACTCAGGGGGGTGGGCACTGTGGAGGGGGCATGACATACAGTGGGGTGCACACAGGGGCCACTTCTGCAAACTCCCTCCCTGCGTTGCTCATGAGGGAGGATGAGGGACCAACTGCAGCCTCTAAGGAGAGAGGGATGGAACAGCAATGGTTTGGGCGGGAAGGGACGTTGGGTCTCCCCCCACCCTCAGCCTCAGACCACAGACCACTCAGCAGCTCATCCACAATTTAGTCACCCCCACCTAAATTAGGCAGCTGCAGAATTGTCACCTACCAGGCACCATTCCTGCCAGGGTGGAGGTGGGGTAGCTTCCCTGGCCAGTGGGGGGCACGTGAGGGGGGTAACCAGGCAGGGTGGTGCTCGCCATGTCACGACCTGGAAAAACACAAAGGGGAAGGGGTGAGGCCTGGAAGAGAGAGGCCTGCCTCTCTGCTCACACCAGGGTACTTCGTGGGAAGGAAAGTCTTAGAAAGGAAAGAGCTGTGCGCCGACGTGTGGGAGGATATCTGAACGAGCAGGTGCGGGTGTGCCTTGACACGTGTTTAAGCGTGTTACCTAAGTGCCCTGCGTTCGGCTGTCACCTCTGCTCTGCGTAGCGCTTTGCGTCTCTCTGTGTGCGTTTATGTGCACATGTGTTTCCCCTTGCTTGTGTCTCTTCGTAGCCCAAACCCAGACGGAGAAGGGAGGGAGATGACCTGCTTTTATTCCTCCTCTCAGGCCACATATTCAGCTGTGGTTTCTCCAGGAGCCAAATGGACCTCTATCATCTTGCTCACCTCTCTAGCACCCCATCTTTCCTTCAGGCTTGGAGGATACCCCCACCCCCACCTGTACTGGGGCTGATGGTCTTCCTTGTCCCCTCTGGGTAGAGCTGCAGGTGCTGGGCCTGGCAGGTGTGGAGAGTGGGGGGAGGGGGGTTGTGCAGCCAGTGGGCTATTTTGCTGTTAGGGTTTATGGCATTTAAACGATAGAAAACCATCCCTGAAGTGAAAACCAGGAGCTTTGAGCCAACAGTTCAAGTGGATCAGATTAAGTCCCAATGAGCAGAACCTGCTCCCCCCACGAGCTGCTGGACTTCTGTCCCTGGAAAATTCTGCTAGCCAGAGTCTGGAGGGTGGGAGGCAGGGCTTTCCTTAGCAGTGTCCTGGAGTGAAGGTAAAGCAAGCCAATATTAGGGAGCCACCCTAGTCCACAGACATCTCTGGGACACAGCTACACCTGAGTGGCCTCCTTTCCTTGCCTGTCCCCTCCAGCGCCACGAAGGGATCACCACCTGACTTGCAATTTATGCCCCAATCTTTAATGACAATAATTTGCCCTCTTCCCTCTCCCACATTTCCATGCCCTAGAGACAACGTGATGCTCTCCTGGGTGCCATTTATCCTCTCCAGATCCCCCTTATCTTCTTCAGCCTGTGCCACTCTCCCACCCTAGTGCCTCTGTCTGGCCCTGAGAAGGCAAAGTGTGGCTGGGGGAAGAACTATGCATATCTGGCCCAGCTCATTTTCTTTTCATCAGTTGCCCTAGTCTTCATCCTCCCTATGGCTATTCCAAAGCGCCCCTTGCTCTCCTTGCCACTCTATCCTTGAATTTCACCTCATCTCCTACTTTTCTGAGACCTGAGTTTCCTCACTCCTCCCTTAACGCATCTGAGTGATTCATCTTTCCCTAAGTATACAGAGCTTCAGCTCAGCTTTTTGTATTTCCAGCTGCCTGCTGAACATTTTCATCAGCTGTCCCACTGTCACCTCAAACCTAATGGGAATAAAAGCCAACTCATCTTCCCCCCAATCAGGTGTGTCGAAGAACTTCTTGAAGATCACCAAACCAAAAAACTTTGGAATCCTTCTTTTGTTTTGAGAGAAAGCACTCGTGAGCGGAGGGACGGCGGGGCGGGGG